TGCCTCAAGTCTAGGTCATCTAGGAATGCAAGGAAACAGCCTACATGGTAAAGTCCCATCTTTGGCAAATTTGCATAAGCTCGAGAGATTTTCTCTAACCTCTAACAATCTAGGAAGTGGGGGACTTAATGACTTGAGCTTTATCTGTGATTTGACTAGAGCCACCAATTTAAAACACCTAGGCATTAATATGAACAATTTTGGGGGTGTCTTACCTGAATGCACAGCAAACTTGTCTTCTTCTCTTGCACGGTTCTACGTAAGTGACAATAAATTAGTAGGAAGACTCCCAAATGGGATTGGAAATTTAGTTAACTTGTTGAGCCTATATCTGTCTATGAACCAATTTTCTGGTGAAATCCCTCCTGATCTAGGCAAGCTTCAAAACTTATATCAATTAGATTTAGCTATAAACTCTCTTTCTGGTGAAATTCCTTCCTCTTTCGGAAACTTAAGTCAATTAACTAAATTATTTTTGGATGACAATAACCTTCAAGGAAATTTACCTTTAAGTTTAGGAGACTGTCCCAATTTGGAAATCTTGTCTGTTCCAAGAAACAATCTCAGCGGTATCATTTCCCCAAAAATCATCGGTCTATCATCTTCATATATTTTTTTGGATTTATCTCGAAATCGTTTCACCGGTCCCTTTCCTCAGGAAGTAGGAAAACTTATAAATCTTGAGTATTTAGATATTTCCGAAAATATGTTTTCTGGTAAAATTCCATCAGGTCTTGGTAGCTGCATAAAAGTAGAAAAACTACACATGCAAGGAAACTTCTTCCAAGAAACAATTCCATTGTCTTTGGCTTCTCTAAGAGGTATTCAAGAATTAAACCTTTCTCGCAACAACTTGTCTGGAAAGATTCCAGAGTTCTTGGAGAGCTTTCAACTTCTCCAATCTTTGAATCTGTCGGATAATAATTTTGAGGGCATGGTGCCAACCAAAGGAGTTTTTACAAATGCAACTGCCACATCAGTTAGAGGAAACAGTAATCTTTGCGGGGGCCCACTTGAGTTTCATTTGCCAAAATGCAAATTCAAACAACAGAAAAAGGGAGGATTAAGCCTAACCTTGAAATTCATAATCTCTATTGGTTGTGCTCTTCTTGGAGGAACTTTTGCATTTACTTTTTTGTACCATTGTTGTGTAAGGAGGGACATAAAGGATGATAGCTCTAGTGGTTCAGAAAAATTTCTACGGTTATCTTACCAAAGTCTTCTAAAAGCTACCGACGGATTCTCCTCTTCCAATTTGATTGGTGCGGGCAGTTTTGGA